CATGTCACTTTAGTTTTGTGTATTTCACTGTACATAAATTATATTTCAATAACACGCATTGAAAAAAAAAAAAAAGAAATGAGACTAACGAGAAATACGCCTCCTTTTCTTTGCTTGCCTCTGAAGGCAAGTGGGGCTTCCTCTGACCCTCAGGGGCCTGCGAGGCCAGGACCGGGAGAGGGAAGTCAACACACTGGGCACCTGCTACCTACAGAAAAGTCTGCAGAAGCTGGAACCCGTCAGGAAAGGAGCAGTCAGATATTTTCCACTGCAAAGAGCAACAGAAAAGCAGTAAGATGCACCCTGTCTGAAGCAGAAAGTCTGTGAGAGCCAGAAAATGAGGCAGTCCCGTCACGTTCTGGCTCTTACTGGGTCAGGGGTCCTGTACGTGGCACCTGGTGTGGGTTACGTGACGTAAGTCTCATAGAACACTTGAAAATGAATGATGGGGCAGCTTACAGGTGAGGAGAGAGGACTGGGGAGATTAGGAAGTTTCCTAGAATGAAACGGCAGGGTCAGGGCACACAGAAGGGTCTCAGGGAAACCCTGAGTGTCTCCACTAGGCCTGGCTGACTTCCATAAAACAGGCAGTACATATGCCCCTTGGTTTACTTTCCTAATGGAAACACAGGCTTGGGATGGGGCTGGTGGCTCAGTGGAAAACGGTGACTCACTCTGAATGTTTTGGAACATTCTATGAATGTTCTGGAAATCAGTCCTTCACCTGCTCACTCTCTGTCAGTGGTTGTCAACAGAGGGTGATTTTGGCTCCAGGAGCCGTTTGTCTGGAGAGCTCTGGTGGCGTAGTGGTTAAAGCTTTCGGTTGCTAACCAAACAGTCAGCGGTTGGAACCCATCAGCTGCTCTGTGGAAGAAAGATGACGCAGTCTGCTTCCGTGAAGATTTAAAGATTTAAATGCCCTGGAAACACTCTGAGGGAGTTCTACTCTTGTCCTAAAGGTCGCTGTGAGTTGGAATCAACTCGATGGCAGTGAGTTTGGTTGTTGGTTTTGGGGACATTTCGGTTGTCCCAAGTGGGGAGAAGATGTTACTGGCATCCAGTGGGCAGAAGCCAGTCCCCACCACAGAGAGTCACTCAGCCCAAAATGTCAATAAGTTGCTGTAGCTGAGAAGTCCTTCTCCAGGTGGACATGGATGGATGGCTTAGCAAGCCGACTGCTGGCCCCAGATCCGTCTGGAAAAGCATGCCCTTGTCTGAAGTGCTCTGGGAAAGCACTTCTGATTAGGTGACAATCAGAAAAGTAAGTCGCGTGATAAATAGCACCGCTGTACACCCTCCAGACCACGGCTGTTAATGGGGTATAAACACTCGAGTACTTACAGCCAAGTCAGATGATGTAAATCTTTGAACACTCCAGGTCTGAGAGTTGTAATGCGGTTGTGACTGAGGTATCTACAAAAAGCATGGGAGAGTTAATGAGGCAAACTCAGTCCTTCATTTCAGTCACACAGCATGAGAACATGGGCCCTGACGGTGATCACAGACACGTGTGTCTGAGAGAGGTCGTCTGTGTGTCATGAGAACATGGGCCCTGATCGTGGTGTGGACACGTGTGTCCGAGAGAGGTCTGTGTGTCGTAAGAACATGGGCCCTGCCGGTGATTATGATCACATGTGTCTGAGAGGTCTGTGTGTCATGAGAACATGGGCCCTAATGGTGATTATGGACACGTGTGTCTGAGAGAGGTCTGTGTGTCATAAGAACACGGGCCCTGATGGTGATTTTGGGCACATGTGTTTGAGAGAGGTCTGAGTGCTGTGAGAACATGGGCCCTGATAGTCCTTATGGACACGTGTGTCTGAGAGAGGTCTGCATGTCATGAGAACATGGGACTTGATGCTCATTATGGACACGTGTGCCTCAGAGAGGTCTGCGTGTTGTGAGAACATGGGGCCTGATGTTGATTATGGACACGTGTGTCTGAGAGAGGTCTGTGTGTCATGAGAACATGGGCCCTAATGGTGATTATGGGCACATGTGTGTCTGAGAGACGTCTGCAGGTGAGAACCTAGGGCCTGATGGTGGTTATGGACATGTGTTCCTGAGAGAGGTCTGTGTGTCATGAGAACATGCACCCTGATGGTGGTTATGGACACATGTGTCTGAGAGAGGTCTGCATGTCATGAGAACATGGGGCCTGATGTTGATTATGGACACGTGTGTCTGAGAGAGGTTATGTGTGTTGTGAGAACATGGGACCTGATGCTCATTATGGACACGTGTGCTCAGAGAGGTCTGCGTGTTGTGAGTACATGGGGCCTGATGCTGATTATGGACACATGTGTCTGAGAGAGGTTATGTGTGTTGTGAGAACATGGGACCTGATGCTCATTATGGACACGTGTGCCTCAGAGAGGTCTGAGGGAAGAAATGAAACAAGGGGACCAGGGTGTGTGTCACCAGTGCCGGGGCCAGAGAGGCGGCCAAACAATGTCCTAGGAGAACAGCAGAGACTACAATGCTATTGTCCCAGAATACACCATCACACAGTTCTCAGACGGCTGTTCCTCTGAACATGTTACCCAAAGATTCCGACTCTTAGCTGAAGGCAGTGATGAAGGCCCTTCCTAACCATGTCTTCTCCAGCTTGGGTCACTTCCACAGCATTTCAGCATTTTATTTTTTTCTAACACTTGCTTTCTTAAAACGTGAGTCTAAGAGGAATGTGACCAAAGAATCCCTAACCCCCTCCATACTGAGTGATGATATCCTTGTTCTCAAACAGCACAGGACAGAATACGGCATAAAACGGTGTTGCTCTTAGGTACTGTTGAGTCAGTTCTGACTCGTGGTGACTCCATACCACAGGGTCTCCTAAGGGGCTCTGGGGGCACACTGCTTAAGCACTCAGCTGCTAACGCAAAGGCTGGCAGTTTGAACCCACCAGCCACTCTGTGGGAGAGGGATGTCGCAGTCTGCTTCCAATAAGATTTCAGTCTTGGAACCTCCTTGGGGAAGTTCTACTCTGTCCAGCAGGGTCACCAGGAGGCAGGACCAGCACTAGGTGCATTTGCTGGAATAGGATTCGCTGAGCTGTGACCCTTACAGTGGCCGATAATCAGGTCATGCTCCTGCACAGCCTCTGTGTGGGTTCGAACTGCCTGCCTTTCAGTTAGCAGCCAAGGGCTTAACTTGGCAATCAGGGCTCCATCGCCGATTAACGGCAGGATTCTACTCCATAAACTTCATAGTAAGTCACTCAGACGTAATTAGATGTAATTTTTTCCCCCTTAGTTTTCACTATTATTGCCTTTTATTATCAGTAGCTTTATAAATCTCAAAAAAAACTGGTGGTGTAGTGGATAAAGCATTTGGCTGCTAACCAGAAGGTCAACAGTTCAAATCCACCAGCCGCTCTGTGGAAGGAAGATGGGGCGATCCACTTCAGTAAAGATTTACAGCCTCAGAAACCCACTGGGGTTCACTATGAGTTGGAATCAACTCGATGGCAGTGAGTCTGGTTTGGTTTTTATAAATCTCACCTTTAATGTCTGTGCATGAACATCTGAGATTGATGATATCAGCCAATTACATGCTGCGACATTGTATGTGGTACACGATACTAACAATGAGATGTACAAAAAACAAAAAGAAGGTAGTCCTAAGTGTTGACCACTGTAACGCGAATTCATCCTAAGTCAGGAATGACCTGTACAAAAACAAACAAACTCACTGCCATCAAGTCAATTCTGACTCATACGACCCCTGCTGGGTTTCAGAGGTGGTAAATCTTTACAGAAGGAGATTGCTCAGTCTTGCTTCTGTGGAGTGGCTGGTGGGTTTGAACCTCCAACCTTCGGGTTAGCAGTCAATGTCTTGGGCACTATGCGACCAGAGGTCCTTACCTGTACAATATAATATGATTTAATAATATAACCGGGAGCTCTGGTAGTGTAGTGCCTAAGGCACTTGACTGCTAACCAGAAGGCTTGCAGTTCAAACCCACCAGCCACTCCTCGGAAGGAAGGTTGGGCAATCTACTTCCGTAGTGATACTGCCTCAGAAACCCAAGGAGGGGTTGCTAT